GTGGGGATGGGCAGCCACAGCTCCGGCAGGATGCCCGTGATCGCCGGGTGGCCGTACCGCCGGCGCCCCGTGTTGAGCACGCCCGGGTAGTAGCCCGCACCCGGCGGCTCGCGGTAGTCCGTCTTGGTGTCGCGTTGGGCAACGAACAGCGTGTCGTCCTCCTCGTCGTGGCTATAGCGCGCGAGTGCGAGCTTGGTGAACTCGCGGTCCATCTTGTGCGACGGATCGAGCGACAGCAGCTGCCTGCTCCGGCTCCCGCTCGGCGTCATACTCCCCGACCGCCCGCCGTTGTTGCCGTTGCCCACGGCAGACACGGCGGACGGATCGGTGCTCACCACGCCCTCGGCCACGTCGGCGCGCGCCACGCTCGGCGGCCCATTCTGCGCCAACTCCGCCACACCCGGATCCGCCTCGCGCTCCTTCAACACCTCGACGACACTGCTCAGGTTCACATGGTGCGTGAGCGGCCCGAACGTCGTCTCCAGATGCCCGTTGAACCAAAACGTAAACACGATCAGCGGCAGCAGCCCCGAACTCATCCACAGCTCCTTGCGCACGCTGAACAGCGAAAACTGGAAAATGTGGAACAGCACCAGCGCCCAGATGCACCGCGACGCCGAAATCGGCCACGCCTGCCCCTGCGACTCGTACGGCTTGTAGAACACGTAGAGCAGCTTGTACTTGTTGACCACGTACGCGATGCCAAAGTAGACCGTGCCAAAGAGCACGATGAGCGGCGACACGATCGAGTAGAGGATGCACAGCGTGAAGATGAGCAGCGCCTGCGGGTAGACGTTGCCCATGGCGAGCGTGGGCGGTGCGTTGAGTTCGGCGAACTCGCGCGGCGTGCGCGTGAGGAAGAGGCGGTAGAAGCCGCGCAGGATGAGCGTGGGCAGCTGGAGCAGCTGCAGCGGCTGCAGTGCGATGCCCTGCAGGATGACGTACGAGAGCGAGAAGAAGCGCGCCTTGGGCAGCGAGGCGGCCAGCTTGTCGATCACGCGCATCGGGTTCTCGGCGAGCTCCTGCAGCACTCCCCATGCGGTGGTGGCGATCAGAAAGATGAACACGACCGAAACCATGAGGAAGAGGTAGTACTTTTTGAGCAGGCTGTACTCGACCAGACTCCTCGCCTTCAAGCCTTGCAGGTAGGACGAGTACTCGAGCACGAGCGGCAGCAGCGCGTTGAAGCCAATGACGACCAGCGAGGGCAAGTTGTTCTGCACCAACGCCCTCAACCTCTGGTCCGTGTCGAGCAGCCTATCGAGCCAAGGGGCGTACTTCTTGATGGCACCGGGCGAGACGAAACTCGCAAGGAACACCAGAGGCGGGATGTAGAACACGAGCACGGCGACCATGAAGATGGACACGAGCACCTGTCGCACCCTGCGATCGTTGTTCGAGAGGTCGATGTTGGACCAGATGATGTCCCTGGGCTCCTGCGCCATCGAGGTCGCGCAGTAGGCCGGCATGGGGTAGTGCACCGTCTGTGAGGCAATCTGCGCACTGGCGGCACTTTCAAACGTGACGAACCCGACGTTGCCACCAGGGAAGCGGCCAACCTTGCGCCGGCGTCGCACCTGACGGTCGACAGCGTTAAATTGGCGCGTGAGCTCGTCGATGGCATCGATTTTTTCGCTGAAGGGGTTCCACCACTGCTTGCGCATCGTCGGCCGTGGGCGGTGCGTGCGGATCGTATCTGCTCCATTAAAGACGTGATTCGACTCCGTGCCGCCAAGCAGTTGAGCGCTCTCCTCGTCGTCTCGCGATTCGCGCTGAGTGCGATCGTCGTCGACGCTGACCCTCACTAGATCATCAGTGACATCCGACGACGGCAGATCCTCGTGGTGGGCACCTGCAGCGAGAAGCATGATCTTCTCGGGATCGTACCCTTCAGCGTCGGAAGGATTGCCCAGCCATCGCACCCACGTCTTCTCGAGCTGTTGCAGCGCGTTGGATCGCTGGTTGAGCAGACGCGAGAGCCCCTCGGTGTTGCGCACCACCGCGGTCGACTCGACAGGCATGTCCATGTTCTCAAAGTACTCGGCCAGCGCCTTTTCGTCGCGCAGGTGGGCGGGGAGGTCGCGGATCTCGACGGTGCGCGCCGGGATGGACTCGAGGATCTCGAGGATGTAGAGCTGGCGCGAGCGGACGAAGCGCTGGTAGTTGATCCAGATGGCGCGCATGGCGAGCAGCGTGACGAGGTAGGTGGAGAGCAGATGCGTGGCGTGGTAGAGCTGTGCCTGTGCGGGCTTGGCGGGGAGCGGCAGTTGCGGCAACGGCTCCTTGGGATGTTCGTGTTTGTTTTTCAGCGAGCTGAAGATGAGCTGGGTCCAGACGCCGGTGACGGTTTCTCGAAGAGCGGATGGATCGGTGGCGTTGTCCCTGTCCTCTGCAGGGCTCACGCCGTCGAGGACGCCGTTCTGCCAGTAGTTGACAGGCATGAGCACCAGGATGCTCCAGCAGCTGAGACTGAAGAAGAGCCAGAAGCCCATCTTGAGGAAGCTGAGCAGGATGGCAGCGTCCAGCCCGACGGTCTGGAGGATGCGCATCTCCTCGGTCTTGAGCGTAGGCATGATCCAGCCAAAGTAGCCCGAGTCGTGGCCGTCGTCGAGCGGAGAGAAGCCCTTGAGCTTGGTACGCGGTGCAAAGAGCGCAGCATTGCGGCGCCGGACGATGACAAAGATGAAGAAGGAGGTGAGACCGATAAAGATGGAGAGCGAGAGCTGCTGCGAGAACCAGGGGCCTTCGAAGGCACGCTGGTTGGGGAGCGGGATGGCGGGGTTGTCGTCGCTGCCGTTGTTGCTGCCGTCGCTGCCAGGAATACCGTCATACTGCCAGCCGATGCCGGCATTGACGATAGTCGCTGCGGTGGTAGAGGTGGCTGCCGCTGCCGCCGCCACAGCGGAGCGGGTATATGCGTAGAGGTCGAAGGGGATTTGGTCTGTGTCGGTCATTTTTGCAAATCGATGTTGCGCTCGCTGGTTGCGGGGTAGTGCCTTGATATAGAAAAGAACGGCGCTGAAGCACCTAGAGGATTCAGAGCGAAGCCATGCAGGATGGAGTGTCTTCGTATCAGCGATGGCTCCAGAGACGGTGAGGAGGAGGGATGGTGAGTGGTGAGGAAGAAAAGAAGCAGCTCGAGTAAATTTAATCAGGATCACCTCCACACACACACACACACACACACACACACACACGTTCGCACGCTCGCACGCCGTGAAACAGACGCAGCTGCTCACACTGCGAAATGCACAAGCCCGTCACCATCACTGCTAGAGCAAAGCATGTCAGCCATAGCCAACCTTGCCTTCCAGATACCATTCGATCTCCAACATAGACTTCGGCCGGCAAATAAAGCTGTCTGAGCCTGCCATGCTCATTCCGTCAAGAGAAAGGGTACCTTCTCATCGTTGTTGTCTCACACCAACGAAAGCTCAATTGATCTTCTACGCAGGCCAAACCATGCATTTTTCAAGCTCCGACCTCTGACTGACCTGTGAGATTCGAGCAAGCGCTTCCATTCATGGTGCGCTGTCTCGATTCGACAGCCATGTGAAAGACGCTTTGGTGGAGTGGTTAACACGTATCCCTGCTATCTCCTCGATAAGCACTTCGCGTTGACGAATGTCAGGATATCCTCTCTGAGGGCGTGAGTTCGAATCTCACAGGCGTCGTATTTTTTTTGCCACGTTTTTTGACATCGAGGAGAAAGCTACGAGCCCCAGGATGCCGAATCTGCTTTTTGTTTGGGGGGTTTGGTTAGAAGGATGGCGAGATAATGCTGTTTGAAGGGGTAAGGGCGAAGGAGGTTAAGATGGTGGGAGTGGTGGGCGGCGTGGACCGAGTGCATGCGCGCAGTGGGTGCGGGCGCTTGGGCCTTCATTTGCGTCCACTTTTTTTGGGCACATTTTTGACTCTTGCTCCGGGCTGGAGCTTGACAGCAGTGTCGGAAGCTTTCAGTGTGTGTTGCTCTTGTCTGCTGCTTTCTCTGGGCTCTGGCCCGAGACCTGTCGCAAGGAGTGGGGAGGCAGAGAGAGGCGGATCATGTCATTGACGATGTCTTTTTGCGGTCGCATTTCCGCACCCCCATTTTGGAAGAAGCAACGCAACAGCTGCAAGAGACAGCGTCCAGTAACGACATCTAGACCAGCGTCTTGTTTGCATATCCCTCGCAGCGTTTGGAGATTGTTGCTCGAGATCATCGTCCCAGGTGTGCTGTCTCGACGGTGTGAAGAAGAGCAAAGCAAGACAGGAAGAGCCTGGACAGCAGCGAAGGAGGCCGAAAAATGCTCAAAATGTTACGTCTTCTCCTGCGGTGGAGGTTCGAGCTGTTTTTTATGCGACGCCTTGTCCAACTCAGCTTTTTGACTCGCTCCAACCATCATCTCTCCTTGCCACCATCCGAGCGCACGAGCGAAAGATGAAGGCGTACAAAGGCATGCTTCTCACATGGTAAGCCTCATCCTCCCCACATCTCACCCTTCACTCGTACATCGACTCACATCCCACTCGGTACATTGTGCAATCGCAGCGACGCAGCAGTGAAACAGCTGATCCTCTCGCTCGACGAACGCAACCGCTTCATCATCATGGACCTGGACGACACGCACCTGCTCATCTCGCCCGACCGCATCGACTGGCTGCGTGCCGAACTCGATGTCGAGGTACGTCCCCTCACCACACCACGCACTTCTCTGTCCGATGATTAAGCTGACATACATTGAGTCGTGCGATATCGATCCACAGCTCGAAAAGAACACATACACTCTCGAAGCTTGATCGTCCAAGCTGCGTCACGCCAGCACAGCCCTGTATCAAAAGTCGTCATCGCATCGCCGCGACTATACCCCATCCGCCACGCAATCGCATTCTCATCGCAATCATTCGAACACGCACAGACAAGAGCACGTAGGTGGTGTGGGGATGATGAATTGGTGAGGAAAAGGTGATGAGTGTAGGAACGGCGGCTGAGCGGATAAGGTTGCGGATGGAAGGACGATTGTCGAAAGAAGAGTGAAAAAATGGCGGGCGGGGAAAAGGTGAGGTTGAAAGAGGTACGTGAGTGGTAGAGTGAGGATGAGATCGGTGCCAAGCTACATGCAATCGCTGAGGTAAAACAGCGAAAGCATCGTGCTCGGCGAGGAAAGGCGTGGGAGATGAGAGTGATAGGAACACGGAAAAGCGTGCAGGTCGCATAGCTCGCCCGATAGTCATGACTGATGAGGAAAGAAGACTTGCTCGGATGCAAGATGAAGGTAGATGGCGAAGATGAGCCCAACGGTGCCCCGCTTTCACGGTGCCAGGCCGAGCTCATCAACCGCCTAAAACTGGTGCGCGACCGCCTTACTGCGCAGGAACACCGCCCTGACCCTGCGGCCCACCTCGGCCTCCCCCGCCACGCTGGCCTCCGCCTCCGCCTCCGCCTCCACGATGCCTGTGGGGCACGGTATTGCTAAAGTTCTGGTTCTGCGGGATGGCAGCCGCATGCATGGCCTGCTGGCCTGGCGGGATGACCGGCCGGCCCTCCTGCCTGTTGCCGTTCTGGTTCTTGCCCTCGGCCTCCTGGATGAGCGAAGGGGCCACGTAGAGCCTCTTGTCGATGTTGCTCGGGATGGGCTGGATCTCGGTGCCCAGCTCCTGCTCGATGCGGTAGAGGTTGAACCTGTCCTCGTACGTGATCAGGTTGATCGCCAGACCCAGGTGACCGAAACGACCCGAACGACCGATTCGGTGCAGGTAGGTCTCGGCGTTCTTGGGGAAGTCAAAATTGATGACGACGTTGACGGCCTGGATGTCGATACCTCGCGTGAGCAGGTCGGAGCAGACCAAGTTGCGGCAGGCGCCGTTGCGGAAGTCGTGGAAGACGCGGTTTCGATGCGCTTGGAGCATCTTTGCGTGCGAGTAGAAGCAGCTGTAACCGAGCTCGGTGATCTTCTTGGCGAGCAGCTCGACACGGTTGGTGGAGTTGCAAAAGATGATGGACTGGTTGATCTGGAGCTTGGAGAAGAGCGTGTTGAGGCAGTGCACTTTTTGACGCTCCTCGACAAAGGCGTAGTACTGCGTGACACCGCGCAGCGTGAGCTCGTCCATGAGGTTGATCTCGTAGGGCTTGACCATGTTGCGGTCCTTGAAATCCTTGACGATGAGCGGGAAGGTGGCGGAGAAGAGCATGACCTGCCTCTCCTTGGGCAGGAAGCTGAGGAGCTGCTCCATGACGGGCGTGAACTCGGGCGACAAGAGCTTGTCCGCTTCGTCCATGACGAACGTGGTGCATTGGCTGAGGTCGGCGACGCCCTTGCCAGCCAAGTCGAGGATACGACCGGGCGTGCCGACGAGCATGTGGACGGTCTGGCCGAGGCGGAGGATATCGTCGCGCAGCGTGGTGCCGCCGGTTGTGACCATGACTTCGACGCCGAGGTGCTTTCCGAGCGTCTTTGCGACTTGACTTGTTTGGAGCGCCAGTTCGCGGGTGGGGACGAGGAGGACGGCCTGGATCTTGTTCTTCTTGGCGTTGAGCTTCTCGAGCGAAGGGATGACGTAGGCGGCGGTCTTGCCCGTGCCGTTCTTGGCACGCGCGAGGATGTCGCGACCGGTGAGTGCGATGGGGATAGCCTCTTCTTGGATGGGGGAGGGACGCTCGAAGCCGGCTTCAAAGATGCCCATGAGGAGTTCGCGTTTGAGAAAGTAGTCTTCGAACTCGTTGCCCTTGGTATTGAGGACATCTTCGGTTTGAGGGCGCTCGTCCTTGGAGATCTTGGAGGTGATTTGCTGCTTCCAAGCGGCTTCGGATTGGCCTGGTGCTGGACCTGACGTGGACATAATTGTGTGTAGTATGCGGGTGGTTTGGGTGCTAGGAGGAAGACGGCGTTGCAGTCGAATGCTGTTGGGCTATATGGCCGGGACTAGAGGGAACACAAAGCTGACAGCGGAGCGCGAAATGGCGTGAATGCGAAAAGGCCTAACGTGCGCAGATATTTGTAGGCAGTGTAGGCGAGTCGAAACTGGGGGATGCAGGCAATGCTTTCAGTTGAGCAGGGGAAAGCGACGTTGCAGGGGAGCCTGATAGAAAGCTGGGCAGACGAGTGTGCTAAAAGCAGGCAGTCGAACGAATCCAAGGATGACGACTGATGGCAGTGGGTGCTGTGCGAGAGTTGTTGGCAAGAAGCAGCTTTGGAAGTGAGATTGTTGCTTGAGAGGAAAATTGCAAGAGCTGCGTGCAAAGATTGATCGGGATTGGAGGAGTAGGAGTGATGGTGGTGGTGGTGGTGGTTGAAGATGAATGGCGATGAGCACGTCGACACTTTTCTTTTTCTCTTTGCTGCGCTGTTCTGCTCTGCTATGCTCTGCTATGCTCTGCTTTTTGGCCCGCGCGCCGTTTTCAGAGGAAGCAGAGCGACAGAATTCGAGACTGCGCTCTGCTGCCTTTCCAAATGGCGATCCGAGTTGCGATGATCAATTTTGGACATTTCGCTTTTCACGGCCGAGATGCTCTTTGGCAGCGCGTTCTTCTCAGGCTAAACAGGATGATCATCTTGCAATTGCCTCGCTCCTCATCACCATCACTACTGCAATTTGTTCAGCATGTCCGCCACCGCTGTCACTGCACGATACGCAGCTCGTTCTGCAGGCGCTTCGTCGTCTCGCATCGCTCTTGCTCAACCAGCACTCGCACGCTCGACCCTCCGCGCCTTGTCCACCTCTTCTACTGCAAGCAACGCCAACAATGGCCCGCTCAAACCAACATCACCCGCCGCCATCCCCGCCAGCTCCTCCACCTCCACTGCATCCACCAACCACCTCAGCTGGGACCAGTACCTCCAACTGCGCAGGTCGCGTCGTCTAGCAGGCATGGTCACCACCATCCCCACCACCTTGCTCGCAGGTGCCGCTGCCGGATCCTACTTTCTCACGCTCGAGATCGACCCCAGCAACACCATCGCCGGTCTCGACCCCATCTACATCAACGCCGGTCTCACTCTGGCCTGCACAGGTCTCGGCTGGCTCACCGGTCCTACCGTAGGCACCTCGATCTGGGGTCTGCTCCATCGCAAGAACGCCCACCAGATCGCGCAGAAGGACCACGACTTCTACGAGCACATCAAGCGCAATCGCGTCGACCCCACGCGCCAGTCGGTGCAGAACCCCGTGCCGGACTACTATGGCGAAAAGATCGGCAGCATCAAGCAGTACAGGCAGTGGCTGAGAGATCAGGTGAGTTGTGGATCGCGCCGGTTGCCAGAATGCTACGTGAATATGGCACTGACACTCAACATTCACTCCTTCGATTGTGCAGGCCGCCTTCCGACGCAAAGCGGCACATGGACTCGAACAAGATGCATGAATGTAGCCCTATCAATTCCAGACACCACTTTCATGCTCGACACACTCTTCCACCATGAGAGCGCAGCCATTTCTATTGGCACATCTAGTTGCGGCCCTTGTTATCCGGCTTGATCCGGCCCTCTTCGAACAAGTGCACCGGGCGGAACGGCCACTTTTCAAACATCCTCGCCAAGCACGCCCACTGCACATTGGTCAGATCGCTCACGATCTGCTCGGGCAGGATCACCTCGTCCTCGCGGATCAGGCCCTTGTCCGCCTGTGCGGGGCTGGTCATCTTGAGCACGTTCTGCCCGCCCGGTGCGACGTGCGTCAGCGCCTCACCCACAGGCTT